GACTCCCATGTCCACAGATCGAGGAGATCGAAGAGCCTCCCGCGGCTACTCAGATGGATACCTCCGAACCGTCGTCTGGATCCACGGACTTGCCACAGGGCAAGAAGGTTGATCCGGTTAAGACCGAGCCGACCGATGTGCCAATGGAGACTGATGCTCCAGGAAGCTCTCCACAGGGAGAGGTACCTGGGGCTACTGTCGAGTCAATGGAGACCGAAGCCACGGAAAGCTCTCCACAGGGAGAGGCATCCGAGGTGAAGGTCGAACCTGATGTGCACATGGGTCAGGAAGGAGGTAAGTCCGAGAACATTGAAATGGCTGAGGAAGGCTCACCACAGGGTGAGGAATCCATGCCAGACATTTCTCCCGAGAAGGATGATGAAAGTGAACTTCACGATCAAGGCATCTGGGGGAAATGCAAGACTGTTCCGGATCCTGAGTACTACCAGGCCGCGAAGGATGCAGAGGACCAGAATGAGAACGCGTTCGACAAAATGGGCAAGGCAAAGGAAAAGATCGAGCTCGTTGATCTCGAAGAGTTCAAACATTTCCTTAATCAGCTCACCGAAATCGAACGACAAAGCCCTATGCGGATGCTCTGCAAGCAGCTGCATGGATATGGCTATTCAGGCTTGTATCATACAGGACTTCGTGATCCTGATTACGAGCCCGTTCTCGCCTACAAGGTGCAGCATATGAGTTGGAGGGTAAATGTTCCGAACCACAAGGGACAGAAATACTCTCTCTCTATGGTGGATCTATTCGACCAACTCAACAAGATGGATCCCATCTATGAGCGTCGTCCCGACAAAAAGGACGTTGTTTTTCGTTCTGGGGACGTTCGTAGCACCTTGGACGACAAGCTCATGGGCAAGGCCTCTGACATCCGAGAATCAGCACTGGATGTTATGGAAGCACTTCTTGATAAGCTGAAGTCCCTGGATGCAAGCGGCAATCCGGCAACTCGAGAAGAACTTTTGAATGCTATGCTTCACTACTTCTTGAGCACCGGAGTCGATGAAGAGGAGATCGGGGACCTCTCTCTTGAGAAGACGCCGAATCCTTATATTCATCGTTTTGGTCTGGCAGAGGACTCCAATGTCCCTATCTTCACCAGCAAGACCAAGTATGCCGCGCTCATCCTCAATCTCGGCAACATGAGCAGGGGAAGAAAGCGTTCCGCTCCTAGCTCCGTTGCTAATCACATTGACTGGGACGATGCTACACCATCTAAAGGAGCCTTGATAAAATCGATTGCACAGTCGAAGACGCATTTGTTCATGCTCTGCGAAGCGGCTAAGATCGATGACTCCGAAGAGGCCTTCCTCAAGTCACGCGGTTGGCAATTCCTTCGTAACGAGTCCAAGGACCTGATGGTGGGAAGTCGTACAAATGGTGTCGGATCTTCGATCACCCGTCTTGCCGGCTCCACTCTCAGTGGATATGCCCACGAGTCCCTTCCAATAACCTATATGGTCGCGGAAATCGTGTATGGCATGACGTTACCGACCGGTCTCCAGGGCAGTCGTGGTGATGTTCCAGATGAGTCACTGACCAAGGTCTTGGAGCGAGCTGGATCCGACCGGCTAAGAGTTTGTGTCTTCCACCTCCACAACGACGCGGCGGCAGACAAGGTGGCGTTGGCTCATGAAGTGTTGGGCAACATGTTCATCGACTGCTTGCACTACCAAGTCGACCTCATCGGTGGCGACGCCAACATGGCCCTCTACCGGGCCACCGGCAGAAAGCAGGAGTCGATGGATATTCGTGGCGGGATGTACCAAAGCCTTCTCGACTACTTCTTGGAGGCATGGTCAGAAAGCCCAAAGTGCCCACACTTCTGTTCGCCTCGTGCGAGACATGTGTCAGCAAACGCCATGTGGCTTCTGAAACAGTATGAGGACACGCTGGGAATGCCATACAAGGAAGCTAAGCAACCAGACTGGAATACTTTTCCTGGTTTGGATCCTGTTATGGCTACAGTCATGGAATGGGGACACAGCATGTCGGACGATCAATGGGCGGAGTTTCCGTCTTCAAAGACTGAGTTCGACATCCATGTCTCTGAGTGGCTGTTAAACTCCACCAGCGCCGCGTACCTTCTCAACGATCGGGACTATGACGCTCACACTCCGCTCCTCATCGAGGTTCACGCGAACCAGTACTCTGGAGGCAGGATGAGAGCGCTCAACCGCAATCCCGACACCGTGAAGGAAGCCGCGGACAGAAGAAAAGAGAGACAGAAGCTGAACAAGGCGCGTGGTTCTGGTTCTACTGGTCCTGCAGCCGCACCACAGGGAGCAAGCTCTTCTCAGGAAGAGGCAGCTTCTGGTGCTAAAGCTTCTGGTTCTCAACGTCCTCAAGAACCCGCACAACCTCCTGGTGGCAAAGAAGGCGGCAAAGGAGGCAAGTCCTCCAAAGGAAAAGGCAAGGACGCCGACAAGGGCAAGTCCAAAGGCAAGTCCAAGGACAAGTCCAAGGGCAAAAGCAAGGGGAAACACTGACTAGGTTCCGATTCTTCGGATGTGGAAATGGACAATGGACTCGACGAGGTTCCTTTGGAACAAGATGATGCCGTTGCTCCTGATCCACAGATTTCGTTACCTAGATCCCCTGCTGATCCCCGCGGTTACGACCCTGTTCGCCATGCTCCGGTGATGCCGATCCACACGGTTGACATTTACCGCTGGCATGGTACTGAACATTGGCGTGATAGAACCTGGGATCGCGACATAGAGTTCATCGACTGAACTGGCAGAGTGTTTCACGGAATGCTTCTTTCAGAAGAAGGTATCCACTTGAGCATTCGTCATTTCATAGGGAGATGCTTTTCTCAGGAAAAGGTACTTCCTAAAGAACTCTTTCTCAAAGAAGATACTTATCTCAGGATAAGATACTTCTCATGCCCTTATATATTTGCCGTGTCGCAAGATGTCATGCTGACATCAAGTGGAGCTAAGCTCTACAATCTTTTATGTGACAGTAAGCTTTCCGCCTGGAGAGGAAACTGAACACAAGTGGGCAACTTTCAAGCAAAAGTTTTCAGTTGAAGATCCGTTTGCGTTTTCGTGCGTGTTCTGCTCTTTTCATTGAAGCTGTCTTCAGGTGAGAGATGTATAGATTCTCTTCAAGTCGCAGATGTAGCTCAATACTCCGCTAATTCGACCGAGAGCAATAACAGGCTAGTTGAATGCCGACTCCACGGCCATGCAGCTCTACGTGTTTTAAATTTGTGCCTGGTTGAAACACTGAATGTTACACATCCAGGTGCCTGTCTGTTTCACGTATCACTTGCATGTATCCATGCCTGTTGCTCAAGGTTCTAGTGCAGTGGACTACAGCTGTGCGCCTGTAGCAAAAGAGACACCTGAGTGCCTGTGTTCCTGTACGCCTAGCGAGGGGATACACGTCCAGGTTACATCTCATGGGGTGGGGGGTGGGGCGGGGGGTGGTGGGATGTGGGGTGGGGTGGGGGGTGGTGCAGCGCAGGCAGGGCAGGGCAGCAAAAGCAGGGAAGTGCAGAGGGTGGCAGGGGGGCAGGGCAGGCAGGGCAGGGGGGGAGGGCAGACATCGTCTCTCACTAGTGTTCGTTTATTGCTCACTTATTGCTCCCATAATGCTCACATAATACATTTTTAGTGCCATTTTAACGATCATTTATCGCTCATTTCTTGAGGAGAGCCGGGGTTGGTCCCCGGGGTTAGTGTGAGCTACCAATGAGTGGGGCACGTGAGGCTACAAACGGATTCCTTTTGAGTTTCCGGGCTCTTGGTACTCATTTCTCTCCAAGACCTTCCGTGTCTCAACTGTAAAGGGAAGCAAGGGAGCTTCTTTCCACCAAGAGAGGCGGTATGTCTATTTTTTCTTTCTCCATAAGTAAGCACGAGAAAACGATTCTTCGTTAGCAAGAAACGTAGGGCGTTTTGTTTTACTTCTCCTGAACAAGAAGTATTGTAGGGAGACAGCGCCGGTTGAGAAAGAGTTAATTTTTCGTGAGGGGGAGCTCGATTTCTTTTTTTGAAGCGAAATTTTTTTTGGGAAAAGAACGTTCCGGGTACTCCCTAAGGTTCTTGGTTTACTTTTTTGTGCGAACAACACCGCGAAGACAAGCTGAGAAAGAGTAAAATAAGGAATTGGCATGCCGAGTCCAGGGTACCCTGGATTTCTCATTTTGAATGCACGCATTTTAAGTATACATTTTTTGTCGTACCGCTGTCCGAGGGGCTCAATTTCTTAAGCCATTGATTTCTGAAGCAGTGCTGTTGCTGCAGGTAAATCAATAGTAAGAGGGCTTCTCAAGCTCTCCAACTTTATCAAGCAAACAAAGTACCCGTGCTTGTGTCGTTGAAACAGCGGAGCTGTTCCGCATCCTCACAAAAGCTCACAGAACTCGTCTGTGACCGCAGAAATGAACTAAGAGCCTCTTCATCTAAGAAGACACAAGATTGTGAGATCTAGTCTGTCATGTACGCAAACGTGAAGACTTCCGCAAACTAGTCAAATTTACTTGTTTGCATGTAGATCCAGATTTGGAGCCCTGACAATGTTTGTATGTGTCTATTTTCGACATGCCCCCAGACGAAAAATTATCCAACATCTTCAAACAACTACTCGTAAGATGCTTCGAAACGACCACATTTGGTATGAACCAGCAGTGCTGATATCGTCTCGGGTCATTTTTACGACGTGCCATGGGCTCTGCCTGCCAACACCCACTCTTTAAGCTGGAAGGAGATGGAGGAGAGCGTGTTGATCACGGCGACGAGCGCTAAAATGAATAGATGGTGCGACACGTACGTGCATATGTACAGCTATCTATCTATTTATCTATCTATCTATCTATCTGTATATATGTATATATACATATTATAGCATACTGTACTATATTATGTTAGATTCATGATTTTGTATATACATACATACATTCATGATGTAACACGTGCATTGCGCCGTAGGCCAAGTCTGGAGGACGAGCATCTTGCTTGGCTTTTGCAGCTAAGGTGCGGGCGCAGGAGACTGAGAGTGCCAACATGGACCGCGTGGTTCCCATTGCAGCCTTGTGCGTCCAATGTGGAAGCAGGTGCGCGACTGTCTCTATTCCTGTTACTACCTCCGTCATTGCTGGGTCTCTCATAGCTGCCTAGCAGCACCCTTCAACTTGACTTGGTTTTGTGTGAAAGTGAGCTGCGTCGGGGTCACAGAGCGGGGGACCCGACCTGTTCTCGGTGCCGCCGGATTGTCATGGCAAGGAAGAGTGTGTAGAAGACTTGCAGCAGACAAGACGACCTTCGTCAAAAGTGCGAACCCACATAGCAGTGGTAGCACAAGACCAGCAGCAAGGTATTGTGCTAGTCGTAGGCACCGCAATGGCCAAAGCCTGCCTTACTGTGAGAGGTATGCACGTACTGGAATGCAACAGAACACTAAGTTTCCTAGGATGTGGCTTATGAGTAAGCAGCCCTTCGCATATATAGGTGTGTGTATATATATATATATACATACACACATATATATATACATATATATATATATATATATATATGCTCGCCCCCCCCCCAAGATCCACGCCATCGTGGTTTTTTGGGGCATGGGGCGCACGAAACACTGCTATGCTCAAAAAACTCCAAACTTTCCAACCCCAGAACTCACGAAACACTGTAATGCTCAAAAAATTCCAAAACTTCCAAAATTCTGGCATCTATGGCCAGCACGGGGGCAAATTCCTTAAAACTGTGGAGTTTTTTGAGCATAGCAGTGTTTCGTGAGCTTGGAGGCTGTAAAAGGTGGATTTTTTTGAGCATAGCAGTGTTTCGTGGTTTAAAACCTACAAAACACTGTAATGCTCAAAAAACATCTACTTTTCACAGACTTTCAGCATAGCAGTGTTTCATGGTCTAAAACTCACAAAACACTGTAATGCTCAAAAAAAACCCGCTTTTCACAGCCTCAAAGCCCACTTTTGTTGAGCATAGCAGTGTTTCGTGCCCACAACACTGTAATGCTCAAAAAAAATTCACTTTTCCAAGCCTTGAAACGCACGAAACACTGCTATGCTCAAAAATTCCAAAGTTTTAAGGAATCTGCCCCCGTCCTGGCCATAGATGCCAGAATTTTTGGAATTTTGGAATGTTTTGAGCATTACAGTGTTTCGTGAGTTTCAGGGTTTGAAATTTTGGAATTTTTTGAGCTTTACAGTGTTTCGTGATGTCCAGGACAGGATATACTGCATCACAAGATAATTGGGTGCTTTCAACCGTTGTCAAGGACTGGAAGTACTGTTTTATGTGCCTTCTGGAACAGCAACGGTTTTCATTACTCTTGTTTGACAAGTATGAACAGTCCTGCTTCATGTTTGGAAGGTTGCAAGAGCTCTCTTACTTTTTGCTGCAGACGAGCCTTCTTGTGCGCCCGCATATGCACATGAACCTTTCAACTCCAGGGGAGCTTTCCCATTTCTTATGAGGCAAAGAACAACTATTGGAGTATTGCCTCAAAAATAAACGCGCCCGTATATTCGACTTCCTTCATGTATAATGGACAGGACATGAAAGGAGCTCTCTGTAGTTCGTAACTCATAAATCAAACGCTAGAGCGATTAGGCCGCATCAGAATCGGACGCTTCACGAGCAGCGGGAAAGAGATGGCCCACGCACCAAGACGTCTTCGTAAGAGAGACAATCGTATTTTTATTATTACAGGAATGTTGTTAAATAACACACCATAAAATGCAAAAAACAATGCTTTTAGTATTATATGAACAAAATTAGCACGCCCTCCAGCATTTCAGCTTGTCCAACACATAAACTACTAGAAATCCGGGGCCGAGATTCGGCTCCAGATTTTTACACATATCAAACCCGCGACTTGTAGCAACAAGGCTTGGATGCACATGACGAAAAGCACGATTATATCGGTTTTTACGGTGTTTTCGGCTTATATGAGTAGTGGATCAATGTAGAGAAGCAAGCTGTGGAATAGCGTGGAAGAGGCGGGTGTGGATCTTGGGGGGGGTGACCACATATATATATATATACATACATACATACATACATACATGTATGATCTCGGTTCTCGGTTCGCCGACCCCCGACGCTTTAATGGTATCCCCTCCGCCCCTTCGCACGTCCAGGTCCAAACATGCCGAATCCCTGTGACTGTGCGCACTTCTCGCACATGGCGACTCCAAAACTGTCAACTGTCACGAGGATCTTGTCCCAGACACACCCGATCCTTCCGACACTGGCTCCGACATGAGGGTATTAAAATGCAACTGTCACGAGGATCGCGTTCCTGACAGGCCCGATTCCTGTGACAGTTGACCCAGAAAAGGAACAGTATGATGATGACGATGGTGATCATGATGGTGGTCATGATCACGATCATGACACCGACCCCCCCAAGCAGACGTATACCCCGAGCTGCACCACACCGCAGTCGAACCGAACCACCCCACAGGGCAGACGAGGGGGAACCAACCATGGGAGCGGGTGAGGGGTGTCCCTGCCGCACCGGGATCATATACGAGTATGTACATAACTTAGCGCATGTACATGGCATGTATGCATGTATGCATGTATGTGCAATGCACGCGCGCACACACACACACACACACACACCCACACCCGCACCCACGCACCCACCCACCCACCCACCCCCACCCACGCACCCACCCACGCACGCACCCACCCACCCACCCACCCACGCACGCACGCACGCACGTGCGTTTGCAGTCCTTCATGAACGCACGAATGTACGTATCTCTGCATGTATGTCATTGTGTAGACGTATGCATGTATATTTGCATGCATGCACGCTGCACGCTTGCATGCTTGCTTGTATGCCTGCGTGTATTTCTGTGATTTTCTGTCTGTATGTCAATGTCCTGCTTTCTGTTTGCTCTGCTGTGGCTGTCTGTCTGCCTGCCTGTGTGTACGTACGCATGTGCGCATGCATGCATGTATGCATGTACGTATGTACACTGGTATGACTCGTATGTACGTATGGTGCGCAGGCATGTAGGCGTGTAGGCACGCAGGCACGCAGTCTCGGAGGCACGCAGGCACGCACGGACGCAGGCACGCAGGCACGCAGGCACGCAGGCACGCACGGACGCAGGCACGCAGGCACGCAGGCACGCAGGCACGCAGGCATGCAGGCACGCAGGCACGCAGGCACGCACGCACGCACGCACGCACGCATGCATGCATGCATGCATGCATGCATGCATGGAAGCATGGATACGAGTAGTGCAGCACCATGGTATGCACCTCAGTCGGGTTGAGCCACATCGGATTCCATGAGTGCTTGCCAGCGGTGTAATGATGGAGGTGCATCTTGGTCTCCATGGGGTTCTACGTTCCTGCGCCTGAGCGGCGAATGGCTGCAAATTCCAACTGTCCAGAGCGAGTGGAACAGCGAGGCCAGCAGAACGGCCTTTGCGGAGATCAAGTACCCGGGCGTCAAGGTCAAGTGTCTTGGCTTGAGACTTGAGAGACATATCAAGCTGGTCATGCAAAGGGAGATCAAAGAAGAAAAACAACAGCAAGAAGTCGGCCAGAGCTGCTCATGCCCAAGCGCGTGCAAAAGCAAGCTCAGATTTTCGCCCGCTCGCATACAGTCACGCTCGCACTCGGATGGCAACCGACAGCAAATGTGCATCACTTTGTATTGATGATCCTAGTTATGGTGATGGTGCCTGCTGTTTTCCCATTTCGCAGGCATGGGGAGTCACCCTTCGATGCTGCTGCGAGGCTTTGCAAGAGCAGGAGCGTCCGCCCGGTTAGCAGGAACAGGCTCTGTTCTTCACGGCCCTTGCACCCTGCATGATATATAAGTGCACCGCGCGTGATGCACGGAGCGGCAGAACATACGGCCTGACAGATATGAATACATAGGTTTTATGCTGATATGTGTGCAGTCCTGGCTTCCTTGCGTCAGAGGCTCACGCCCCTCTCAGACTTCATCGAGGTGGAGGCAACGTCTTTCGAGGCGAAGGAAGAGGAGGCCTGACAAGCCCTGACCAACTGATGTGTCAAAGAGCATTCCTCGATCGGAGGACATCTCAAAGCGTACCGGGCTGCCGTCCCGGTATCTGAGAACCATCTTCCGCGGGCACATGAGCCCCCTTGTCCCTTGTTGCAGATCTCGCTAGTCGAGGAATTGGCTGTCATTTGTGCTGAACTCCTCAGCCAAACAGCATCTGATTGAACGGTGTATCAAGGTACCCTGGGGCGATTACATGCAGTTCATTCCCAGCCGATCCTCGAGCACGATGAGGCTTACATCCAAGCACAGCAGTCTGGCACGCCGTTTCCTTCGAGCTCACCCCTTGTCCCTGGGCGAATACTGAAAGCATGAACATCGCTATTGCAGTCTATGGCAAGCCAGAGGTTGACACACATCCGAGGTCGCCGGCCCTTTGTCCCGACCTCTTTGCGTTGAAGCAGGAGCCGCTATGAGCCGAGTGCATCTCCTGAAGGGGGTCTTCCTGGATTTCACAGGACCTCGAAAGCCCGGAGATTGCGCTTTACGCCTGGACGCTGGGCTCACATTCAGAATGCGGCATAACCCCAAAAGAAAGGCAGAATTCCTCGTGATGGAATTTCGCAAAAGGGGTGGAGCTTCTGCTTTGAAGTAGGTCTGCTCGATGCCTAGTAACTCCAACTGCATGGTTCTCGCTGTGTGGTTAAAAGAATCCTGGCTCCAGATTACACAGGAAATTCACACTGTCAGGACCCTATCAAGCTAGCCAGTGTCCTTCTTCTCTCCGCCCAGGATGCCTGCGTGGGAGTTTGAATACCTTCGATACACGGCGCAGGGCGAGGCTTTAGTGGACTACTGGGTCCAACATGGTTTCCTTGGCTGCGCTTAAAGTGCGGCGTCCTCTTCATGGTACCACCGACACCCTCAGATCCCTTGTCAGCCTTTTCAAGGTGACTACTCTGTGCTGCACACAGACGGAAGTGCCCAGCGCTGCTTTACACCAGTTGCTTGTCTTTTGAGGAAGTCTTTACGTGTAAGCGATCACCAGGACACGAGGACGAAGGTTCGTCGTCTCCGAGGTGTTCTAGCAATTGAGAGGCGCGCGGGCGCCTGATTCTATCACAGGACTCAGCCAACAAAGTCGCAGGTTTGGTCGGGCAGTCGAAATGAAGCAGGCGCTTGAAGTAGAGTTTATGTTAGGGTTTGTTGAGTGTATATTTAGGAATGTAGGGCTTCTGAGGACAAGATGTGGGTCAGCGGATATCTTGTGTGTGATTATGAGGAGACCAGCAATGCATGCCTTGCTTCACCTGAAGTTCGACAAGCCAAACGATTCAAGAGGTAGCGAGATGCATCCCCACCTCTGCTTGTGTCATCAGCTGCGGCCTGATAGCTACAGCAACAACACCTTTGTGAAGTCAGCACCACGGCCACACTACCACATGCCGAGGTTACTGCGCGGCCGAGGGCCGTGAAGCCGACGGCGACGACCAGGCAGAGGGAGGTTAAGGGTTTATTGGGTTCACCGTTCGCTGAGGCGGGGCAGGATAGTCCAGAGATCGTGCCGATTCGCGGAGCAAATGCTCCTGATTTGCTCCTCTGTTGGGCTACGCAGCACCTGCAGTTGACAAGATAGAAGAGAATCCATTCGGGAAGACTGAGAAGGGGTCAGGGACACATGAGGATGCATGAATGTTGCCTAGCCTCCTTGTCTGGTACCACGCGGCAAAGCGATATGGTCGGCCACGCTGCCATCAAGTACTGCCGAGTACATGAACGACCGATAATGTTCGCCACCGGTATAAAAATCCATGTTCACACAATATGTATCAAACCGGAGGCAGTGTGAAGCGGAGCACACGTCGCAACTTAACTTGTACTCGAGGTGACCCGAAGAGAACTTGTAAACTTATTGCTTTGCAGCCATCTACATTGGTCGAGTGCTTACGGCACTGTAAAAGACCCCTGGGCGGTTTATCTTCTGAGGCCCGACGAGGAAAACCACAGCCCAAGTCCTAGACCCCAAAGCCAGAAACCTGAACTCCAGTGAGCCAGGAGCATTTTGTCGGGTCAGCGACTTAGCCAGCTCGCCAAGACCCTCACTTCGCGCAGGGACCGCTGGATGCTGGTGCTTACAGATCTTCATGCGGGATGCGGTATGTCGGTTTGATGTATGGCGGTAGGTTTGCAGGCGATACGGGAGTTGCTAATGCTGGGCATCGGGAAGTCAACGCAGAAAGCTTCGTCACAGGAGAACACGACGCGGACATACAATCGCGTGTCGGTTCTGAATCCGGAGCAACACTGATGCTTCGCTATTTCCTGGCTGTTTCTCGTTTTCCCTTCCCCTGAACTAGAGCTTGGGCGTTCAACCCTCAGAATCAGACCCGGAGCAAGACCTGTGATGCAGTGGCCGAGACACGGATATGGAGAATTACAACAGTACTCAACTCGTAGGATTAGGTAGTGGCGGCATCAAGCCGCATGCGTTAACGCACGGCGCATGCAGCAACATTGGGAATCCTTCGTTCCAAACGACGGAAGCATCGACAGAGTTCGTCTTGGCTAGTCGGATAGTCGTGCATTCAAAATCGTTGGATGTAGATTGAACTGGATGCGTTGGAACCCTGATGTGCAGCCTGTGCAACCGTGGAATGAGGGACCAAAGCGTCCCGGAAGAAAGTGATGCTCTGATTCTTTGCCCCGTCGGGCTTGACAGGGCAAGCTTTGGTTTTGTCATGGAGCCCCGAACGGGGCTTCCGTGACTCCTGAGGATAGCTGCAGGCAGCTGCGAGAGGGAACTAGCAAAAAGCGTGACGTCCCCAGGAGGAGCCCATCTGCCGGCTCGTGTAACTGCACCTTTCTGACTATTGTCGCGATGAAGAGTTGCCGCAGCGGCTCGTGTTTCTTTTTTTTTTCGCCTCTCGAGGCCAGCGCTCCTGGTCCTCTACGAGGAGCAAGCTGAAGCTGAAAGCAATCTGTTCTCCGCACCCCCACGCGAAGCGATCATCACGCGTCAGGGTTACTTCGGAGCGATGGGGCGGTTGCCTCAGCAGAGCCTTTGACAAACGGCGCCAACAGGCAGAGCTGGCTGGGTCATTGACTCTACGGAAAGTAATTATTGATGACTGAGCAAGTCTGCAACAACATAGTGCTTGAAACTCCAACAGGTGCCTGTCGAAAAGGGGCAGAACACACACAGTTCTATTTTATTGCTTCCTGCAAAGTTGCTACAGGTAGACCGTCTCATGGCGATACGTAGAAGAAGCAAATGCAAGACATTCCAGCACTTGAGGCGGCAAGCAGTGGCAACAGGAGGAACGAAAGGCGGGCTGCAGATTCTCCTCTTGATAGTCTGACAGTGGCAACAGGAAAGTCACAGTGAGGACAATCGTAGTGCCCTGGTGGTTGTAGGCATACACGACGAGGACGAACGTCCATGCCTATTACTGGATCAAAAGTCGTAAACGTAACCGTCGTCGTGTGCTAGTAGTTAGTACCAGTAGTAGTAGTAGAAACTACTGCTAATACTGGTACTACTAGTGCTTCTAGCACAAGACGACGGTTACGCTGTGGTGATAAGGGTTACACGGTTAAACACGGTTGCAGACGTGCGCACTTGCCTTGGGAGGCCGCAATCAGAAGGATGCAAGGGCTTCCCTGAAACAGTCTTCATTGGCGATGAACCCAGACGTCGGGCGGTAGTAAGCGCAAGAGTGTTCATCGATGGATGCACTTGATTTATGATTCGACGCCTGGTTGCGTCTTCAAGCTTGTCGGTGTGTGCCACCGCCATGCGGTTGCGAGTCAGCTCATAGTTTGCAAGGCGGCCTGCAGCACCCGAGGCGCCTAAATCTGACCTTCGGCCCTGTGAGCATTAGGAAGACTCCGCAGAATGAGACATGCTTCCCACAACCCAGCCACCCTGACAGCCCAAAAGACACCCGTCAATGTAAGTCATCTCAAACATTTCACAGTTTTGGGCTTCTGAGCTTCTCCATGAGCGGCCTTCGGCCATGCTGCTGCGCGCTTGCAGCGGTGGCTCTGGGCCAACGTCGCGAACCGGCGCGCTGAAGAGTCCTGCGATTTGTACGACCGAGAACCGATTCTGCAGAACCCTTTGCACGCTTGCATGGGAACCCCAGTGTCCTTGTCTAGTAAACTGAAGTTTGTGCCAGCATCCGTACTGCAAGAGACCATCTGGGCTGTGCAAGAGACTCGGATGATTCGAACAGTCACATTGCACAGAGGCCGAAGGTCCGGCTAGTTTGCCGTTTGTCTGGAGCAGTGGCTTTCATTTCGTATCCCCTTCCCTTGAGACCAGCAGCCGGCAGGCGACCAAGTGCTCTGCCCCCTCCGAGACGCCTTGTGCGAGACATGTGGAAGCGAAGCCGCTTGCCGTAAGGCTATGGGGACAGAGTGTAGACGCAAGGCCTCCCACGGCTCGGAAGCTTTCTGCCATGAACTTGAGTTCAGGTTCATGGGACTGCACAAGAAGGGCTTCGTAAGACAAGGAGACTGGACGCTTGAGCTGCATTCAGGGTAAGGGCTGTTTGTCTTCCCTGAAACTGCTGGCGTGTCATTGCGCCTTAAGATAAACTACGTACTGAGGCATCCTGTCACGCTGTGGCCGCCGCTGAGCTTTAGCAACGTTTGGCAGACCGGCCGCTACTTTGCCAACTTGGTGCGGCCCTCTGCACCTTGACGAAACTAAATCTGCATATTGTCTGACGTATTCCTCGAGCAACCTCGAGCCATGGATGCTTTTGCAGTGCCTCGCTTTCTTGCTGGGGAGTCTTGCAAACGAGGCCCTCTGGATTTGCAAAACATGTTGGGTCTGGGTTGCCCAAATAGCATTCTGACTCAGCTCCGGAAAGTCGGTCTCTGGAAATCTAGGAAGCAGTCAGCCGCTTCGCGGAGTCCTGCGTGCGCATGCATCGACGCTGCTTCACCTGAACGACGCCTGAGGTAGCGGTCAAGGTGTTCAATGCCAGGGAGCAGGAAGCTATCGAGGGACTGTCGCACTTTGCCTGAACGGAAATTGCGGTCGACTGTAGCTCTGATGGCTTCGCTAGTGCCGCTAGTGAGTGTTGGTGTTTGAGCACCAGTCAGAGCATTGCAATCCGGACGAAGGAAGCGGGAGTTCTTCGAGAAGTACGGCTTCGTGCTCTTACAGAGACCTACAAAGATGCAGGTGGATTGTGGCAGTTGGCTTCAATTTCCACCATGTGTGGTCCTCTAGTATGCCTGTGTTGCGCGTGAGTGGCGCGTAAGCTGAGTGGGGCTCTTCAGAAGCAGGCGAGGTAAGATGATGAGCCATGGGAGCCCGTTTGAGGCCGAGGATTGGGCCAACTGTGCACCGAAAACGCTGGACCTCTCCAACTTCACAGGTCGAGCAGGGGTCGAGTCGGCGGCATAAACCATTGCGAGCGATGCGCAGCAGTTTAGGTCTTCACACGATCAGCTCTGAAGGCATGGGGATGCCAAAGATTGAGACTGCGATCTCACGCATCTACGCCAAGGAGGTGGAGGAGATGGTCAGGCGGGCTTGCTCCAGCATACTTTGTTGTCAGGAGTGTGTTTGTGCAGGGAGCTGATGCCGGCTGCCACCTTTGTGGAGCTGGCGCCGCGACGAGTTAGTCGTTGTATGTCGTTGTCCAGTTCTCCCTTAAGAACGCTTTCAACAAGTGTCATGTCAGTTTTTGGAGGTTGTTCCGCAAACGTTGCCGGTGCAGATGTGTTGTCCCGAGGATCCGCTATGTGCGCGGCGCGGCCCGGGTACAAAGAATCCGACGTATTCTTTCGCTGTGCATCAGGCGCGGGATGGCACAGGATGGCGCGGGGGTCTGTATTTTTCTCGTGTTCACGAGTGAGAAGAAGAGCATGCATCAGCGGAGTGTGCTCTGTTACGAGGATTATGGCTATACAGCCGACGACTGGCCGCTGGCAGACAACGGCTTCAAAGCTCGCTTTGACGAGCCGAATGTCACGGGTGCCTTTCCTTTCCCGGCTTGAAGGGTTCGGATGCTAAGCCTAGTATAGCGGAATAGCGTAATCTCACGTCGTGAAGGTTTCATGGCCGTGAACTTCTGGCGGCCTGTGCTCCCGATGAAAGGCGCCGGCTCGCCCGCTCGTGCATCGGCGCAGTTCGCAGATTTTGCAGAATTCGCAGGTTGCAGGAGGTCCCGTGTCCGCACAGCCCCACATTCCCACACGAAGAGGCCCGGTGAAGAAAGCGCCGCTGGCGGTCTGCGATCCCAGAAGCGTGAAGATGGAGGCCTCGGGATGCTGTCGAAAATGCCTTCCATGAGCCGTGCGACTTACGAAGGACACGGTGCCCATCAACATCCGCTGGGACGAGCTGGGGTACGTGAAGATGCTGGCTCTGGCTCATGATAGCGACCAGCGCTGGTACTACTATCCGGACTACAAATCCGGCGTTCGTGTGTCTGTCATGCCACGTGTGCCTGTCGGGACTTGCACGGCCCAGATCAGGACATGACTGTGGACGAGGTCCTCGTCTTCAAGTCCTTCCAGTACTTCAAGAGCAGCACGGCAGATTCAGAGAGAGGAGTGTGGGTTGAGTAGAGTAGACTCTTAGACGTTTTTGGTTCGGGTTACCGCCCGAGGCCAGGAGGGCCGGCCGGAGCTGAAGACCTGCTTCCACACCGCCTTCGAGGATCCCACGGTGCCCCGCCGCGCGGTTGCTGCGCGCTTCGTGCTTGCACCGCTCCTGCTCAGGCACCGCCCGATGCCGAAGCACGGCAGAGCGCAGAGTACCGGGTGCGGGTCTGGCCGGGCGTCCCAAAGTGTCGTCAAGCCTGCGATGCGTCCTTCTTTTGGCACCTCGCCCTGAGGTTCTGACGGTTTAGAGCGACACCGCGAAGCGCAGGAGTCGTGCAAAGAAATTCAACAAGAGCCCACCCAAAGCCTCCGGATGCGCGAGCGGGAGACGGAAGAGAGCCATGTCCGAGCAATCGCATGTTCTCGTTTCGTCGCCGTTTTTTCGTCAGGTGATGTCAGCCTGCTTGATAGGGCTGATACCCCGTCAGGAAAGTTGAATTTGAGAATCCCGTCCACCATGCTAACATCCACCATGATATAGAAGGAGTGAATCACAGTTTGAGATTTAGTATGCGGTGTCTGCTCTGAGCCGGTGTTTTCCTTTCTGAGAACACTCGCAAGGTGGACGGGAAGTAGCGAATTTATTTTATTCTTTTTGCCCGATCGTCATCTATCACACCTCAACGCAACAGCGGGCTGCCTAGCTGTGCCTGAGAGCGCTACCTCTGCATAAGTCATCACAAAGCTTTTGGAGCTTCAGACTTGTCCAGCCGGTGCTCACATGCAGCCTGGCACAAGGTCCACACATGGCGCTGGCTTCCGCTCTGACGGAGAAAAGCCTGGCCAAGTTTCGTCTGCATCTCAGCATGGCACGCGAAGAATTCATTCATGGGCTTATCGCTTTCATGCTTTTGTCATGCTTGCCCAAGGCACGAAACCCTGCGAGAGGCTCCTCACGAAGAACGAGTGTAGCTTTGGAGACCGCTGTCAGTACGCACACTCTGCAACTGGGCAGGAATTTGGAATCATTTTTTCTGCATTATCGAATCAGCTGATCTACTTTGTGATAAAGAGGTAGAAAAAAACCTGCAGTCTCAGTTTCGCTTGCCAGTATGGGCCGCAGTGCAATCCAAAGACCCAGAAGGGCCCTTCTGCCTGGGCCTCCCATTGAAGAGGGCTGTACGAGAGATTCCAGGAGTGCACACACGTACGAAAAACCGCATCTTAAGACTTAAGAGGCTCCTTCCGCACAGTGCCGTTGAAATTTCCAGAGCCGAAGGTGCCACGGCGCAACCCAAAAAACGCCGGACACACAGATCAGCTGGCGAGAGGAGGAGGAGAGGGAACGGAACAGATTTCGTGGCCGCGGGCGCGAGGTCTCCTACTCGCCGGAAATGTGTTCTTCACCTGGGACGTGCCACCTCGGAGACGCATGTCCAAAGGCCGCAAGCAATGGCACAATCCCATGCCCTGTGGTCCTGTGCAGTATTGGCTATGTAGCTGAGTTTCGTTCTCCATTCCCCAAGTGCTTCCGGACAAGAAGTTCGATTGACAATACCAACGACTAGCAACTGTGTTTCAATGACTCCGGCTAGATTTGCGGTGCAGACGGTGCAAGACACTTGCCCTAGACTTACAAGCAATCCTTTCAAACTCAGCACAGCGCCCTGGCACCAGGCACACACTGTGGAGGAGCAGCGGGACTTTCGAGTGGCTCTTGGAGTTGTGTTCAGGGGCATTCAGCTGCCATGCGATCCGTGTCAGATATGGGTTTCCTCGATTCAGAACGAGATCTGAGAGCATGAGCCTTGCACAGGAGTGCCTGTATCATCCCACCATGTACCGCACGCGACTGTGCCCGGAGAAGTAGCTCGACCGAGTTGGCGAGAGACGCAGATGCAGATGCTACACAGTGCTTGTAAACAGGGCGCACGACTCGTCTCGAGTTGGGGCTCTGCCTCTCGCAAGATCTTGCAATCATGCTTTATCTTGTCCCTCCCAGAGTCGCTGAGGACAATGCTCAGTGTTTTGTGTTGACTGAGGAAGCAGTGCACCGTGTTCTACTGCCCCCACGCGCATGCCGAAGAAGAGCTGCGTAGTTGTGATGCTCGTCTGCAAGCTTGGGTCTTTGGAAACCCTAAATTTGACCCTGACCCCACCATGGCGGGATTCAAGGACTTGGCTCCTCCAGCTCTGGCCCTCCCGGCGGCAACGACGAGATCTTCTGGGCCCTTGTCTGGGCCGTTGGAACCGGGCATGGTGAGATGCGAGGACCCGCAGTCGGACGTGGTCTGGTCTGAAGGACGGGAGAACTCGGCAGGAACTGCCCTGCTCTTCTCTCCAGGACCCGCCGAGGTGGTGGCCTGCTGGGGACCAGAAAGATCTGCATGTCCGAAACTCCGGTGAGGCCTGGGCACTCACATTGACAAAACTCACATACTCCAGCAGTCCGGCTCGAAGCTACTTGGAAGTGGCAGGTGCCACCGTTGCAGTCCTACGGATTCGAGCTTTGCGGTGGCCTGGTGCGGCCGGCAAAGTACATGCCTGACACAGGTCCGGCGTAGTCTGAGACTGTTCTTTTTGGCAATTGCCCATCATGTTCTGCTGACCGGAGGACTGGAGGCGCAGCCCTGCTTTGCCAAACTGCTTTCGACGTCCAGGACCGTTCGGCATGCCTTACTAATATATAGAGCCTAGAGCAGCTTAGATTCCATGTTTGCTTTCCTGGCATAGTGCTCTTGGAGTTGCCTTCTCGTGCTGTGGCGGTTGAGGAGCGAAAGCCAGCTGGCAAATCGCGTGGTCAAAGATCTCAAGTGCCTTTGAGCTTGCAGAGCATTGCAAAGGGCAGCACGAACTCGCAGGATTGGGTCCCACCGTGTGTCGTATGTCTCTCTTTGTACTTCTGGAGTGTCGTTGAAGGTCTCTCGAACGCCGGTTTTGACCTACCGGTTCGACCCACACAATCAAACTTTCCGGTCACCGGCGAGGGCTTGACTTGCGAATCCATCTGTGACCTGCGTTACAAAGAATTTTCAGCAAAATAGTTTAGTGCATTTCGGCGCGCATTCGGTAACAGAATTCGGTCGTGGGATCCATGCTGCTAGTTGATGTAAAGAGATGATACCGTGTCCGTGTCTGCGCCCTTAGCAGATACTGCTGCAAGCACCTTAAGTTTGATATGACGCTTTGCCTCACATACTGTGATGGGTACCAACGCTGCGAACAGGCAGTTCTCATTCCTCTTCTTCTTGTTCTCATATTACTACTCATACAGTATGGGATGATGATCGCGATGTGTATGCTGGGACACATTTCCTGAGGCGCTGGCTGTCCAAAACGCCACTTCCGGCGCCGTTCTTCCTGCGCCGCACTGTCGTGCGGGTCCTAGGTGCGACAAATCCACCCGTTCCAGAGATCACACAATGCGGTAGTTACACAGGCGCGTGTGCCAGTTGCGGGCTTTTCCGTGTACCTTTATTTCATCAGTTTTCGGTGTTAGCAGGCCGCAGTACGCATGATATGTATGTTGAGAATGCTCGAGTGCACTGCAAGAGATGTAGTATAAGCCAGGCTGTGCATAGCTTTGCACACCTGCTGCGCAGATTGGCGTGGCCATGCCGAGGTTTTCGTCGCTAGCTAGTTGTTGTGGCACTGCCATGTCTATTATGTCAAAAAAATTGCACAATGCCAATGTACTCTTGCGACACATGGTCTCTACCCAACCCAGGCCACCACAGCCTTGGCAGTGCCGTCGCACTTCCGAGTTTTGGGAAAGACCTTGGAGTCCCTGCCAAATGGAGCCTTGGCACCAGGCAGAAGCAGTGTGGCATCGTCTGGCCCCGCTCCTTAAATCTGAGGAGTGCTGCAGGAGGCGCGCAAGTGCTGGGCCGTGACGCAGCTGGCCGCCAAATGGATCAGACAGTGCGGGGCCTTAGAGTCCCAGATCTGACGGCGAGTCGGTGGCCTTCAGACTACGTCGTAAGGCTGGTCACCGGCTTGGAGGCGCTCCATGAACTTGACATTGCGCGGCTGGGACTGTCCACGAGGCTTTGCATTCAGGTTCGAGGCACTGAGATGCAGTCTCCGTATCGTTTACAAGCAAGTCTGCCATTCTGCAGCCTTTCTGAGGCACAGCTGCATCGGTCCTAGCACGGTTCTGGTTGGGCCCGGTGTTGGTGGATTGGACATTCGGATTGGCGACTTTCTGGGCAAGGCACGGCGGCTGCTCGGGTAGGGCGTATCGAGTAACCACTTTGCAACGTTTCGCAGCAAGTTGAGATACCTGAATCGCAAGAGACCGTCAGCTGGGAGTCACATTCACGGTCGTCTCGAGCTGGCACGGCTCGATATCATGAGGGTGTCGCAAGCGAATGCAGCACGCTGCTTTCACTGGCTACAAGATTGTTTGGCCGTCGCCGCATCGTACACCTTCTGCTCTCATCATCGCGATTGCAGGGTCACCAACACCTGTAGCATAGTGGCAAAGCCATCAGGCCTTGCAGGCAGGTCGCTGCTTCTGCTGTAAAGTTGACAATCGAGTCGAGCAGAGAAGGATCATGTTGCGACCAATCCGGGTCCTTGTCTTTGTACTTGCTGCCAAGCCTGCTTCAGTGTAGCAGTGTAGCAGCATAGGGAGGGTCATGCATGTGGCACGGCTGTCCAGGTGACAACTTTGCGGTGCTTGGAGTCGCTTGGACTCGATTCAATAATGTAGGGAACGTGCCGAAAGTTGCAAGCCTTTGGAATACATATGCACATACATGCCGCATGGATGTTGTGCTGCGCAGGCCGACCACAGATTGTATGTTGGCTCATGAGTATCTGGGTCAGGAATGGTTGCAGCTCTCTTGATGAGTCCTGGGCGATGTGGTACCCTGCAGAGGTCCACCTGCATATCTCGACACTTGGAAGTGCATAGGACAGTGGGAACTTCGGGACCCGCGGCAGCTGCCGCTCTGTCTTTGAAGCGTGCCTTTGCAAGGACAGCGGTGCCGGCAGGAGCAACGCACTTCAGCTCAAAAACCGCCTCCCCAGCCGGGGCCTGAAGACTTCTTCCTACTGGTCAGCAAGCCCGACACCTGTACCTGTCCTTGAGGATCTCATGAGGGTGGACTCTTGGCAGCTGGGTGTGCTGATCTTCTTCTTTCTGACCGGTGCTCATCCCTTCGGGGATTTCGATTGTCCTGGAAATGCTCCTCGATTGCATGAGCCAGGTTACTGCGGGTGTGATGCATCGTGACGTGCTCTGAAGATGCAGTGCTCGTGTTAAACGTGGAGATCACAGGTTTGTGCGAACATCCGAGCGGGCAATGTCGCAAATCGGACGAAACTCGAGGAACTTCCCTTGTTCGCATCTTGGTCGCAGTAGTCTTGATTCTAGGCTCAGTCAGAAGTACCTCTCCTTCCACCGGTTGAGCCAACACCGAGAGTCGCCACAAACCACCGCCACCACCCTGATGCTGCTACTGCACGCGAGAAGCAGGGGGAGGAGGTCGACGACGACGACGACAACTTCTGCCAGCGTGCTGCCACTGCCACTACCACTCTGAGCACCGCTGCTTGCACCCGTCATCACCACCACCACCGCCACCGTTGCCACGACCAGCGATCCCGCTGTCCGAGATGAGGATGTTTTTGAAGCTTACTTTGTAGGCTACTTCTTCGCAACTCGCACCTCGAAGCGCAACTAATTCCACCTGTTCTGGGCTCTACTGCGAAATTTGTCTTTGAACCTGTAGTCACACTGGCACAGTTGGAGCTCGTGGACCGCCTCATCGTTTCCGAACCTCAAAGACGTCTCAAGGCCGACTCTTGAGAGCCGAGCTGAGCCGAGCTCGGCGTCTCGAACATCCCTCCGCCATTTGCCAAGGTCTCGCAGGTTTCGTGTCACCCCGTCTTCTGGGACACGTACGAGGCAGGGCACATGGGACATCCTCGCTATGCGCCATTTCATCTCTCACGGTGTCACAGGGCTTGGAGTTTGCCAAGCCGCTGCTGTCGGATGCCCGACGCACGCGTGAACAAGCTCCTTGGCAAAGACTACATGAATCCGCCTGGGACATGACAGCACAGTCACTCGCATAAACCAGGCAGCTTGAAGGGCAGATAATTCCTGGATCACGCAGAGTGTAACGTGATTTCTGTCCCTCCACTATCTTCAGGGAGAAGTTGTCAATCATGATCATGTATCCGCACACGGAAGATACGAGCCGAATCGTTGCCTGCATTCGCTTCAGGTGTCATTGTATTTTCAGAATCGACTTTTCTTGCCATCTATGTGCCATTATGTGCCGGAGCGAGGCAGTGCAAGGCACGAGTTTAAGCAGGAACCCGTGACGTCGCCCAAGCCGTAAGAGCACTTTCGCTGGTACTGGTGACACAGAAGACAACTCTTCGATCCCTGGCCCGCCAGCATGAACTGGCGTTGTATGCATCTGAGGAATGGCTTTACCACCTGCCCTGCTTCGCGGTTTTTGCGCCACCCACCCGTGAGCGTGCGCCGCGGCAAGAACTGTGCCCCGGCTGAGAAAAATTAAGGACAGTCCAGCTCCAGCCAGACAATAACTTCCACAGAAACACGCCTCTCAGAAATTCATGATGTTCCCATGTGAGCTGGGCTTGCTACAGGCTATAGCTGTGCATCTATACGCATCGTCCATAGCTCACATTGAGGCACGAGTAATGTGGCAGATTTCAGATGGTGCGGCACCGTCTTGCGTTGTGTGTCGTGCCCAGGTTGTCAAAGCTTTGCCAGAAAGTTCTCGACATCGGCAAGCGTCGAAACCCTCACAAAGGACTTGGCACCATTTGCCTGCAATTGCTGTCCGAGGCACACTACGGCCAGTTTTTGCACCATCCAGTCATAGTGAGGAAGTCCACAGCGCAATCAGTTCCGTCCCTGAAGATCGACCGTCGCCGGCCGGTGCAAGCTCCTCAACATGCACCGGCCAAGCGTGCATTTTCACCTCCCAGAAGCATTCCACCGCCACCGCCAGACGAAGCGACGTGCTCCCACTTGATATACGCACTACACCCGCAGACACGCTTTCATGCAGCAGTGACAGGTATTTCCAAGCAGGAATGCGCAGAGGCGTGGAGCTCATGGCCGACTTCGCACGCCGCGCTTTCGTGGACTATCTGACTCCTCCACCGGGATTAGGCAGGGGCCTCAGGGCCTCAAGCACGAGCAGAGCCAGTCGGTCGCCAGCAAAGAATTGTGGAAGGTCCCAGCATGACTCAGCAGGTCTTGCTGCAGAGGTGACCGGGCAGTTGCTGTCTTGTCGGCACCGACTGTATCCGACTGACAGCAACAATGTAAGAGAAGGTGCAGCTTGGCAGCCGCAGAGCTGGCGCTGTACCAGCAGCACTATCAGGCTCAATGCCGACAAGGACGGGTCGTCGCAAATCACCAGATCGCCGCATGTGCTGTTGTCCGGCGTTTCCTCAAGCTGAGCTGCTAGCTGCCAGCTGCTTCCAGCAGCTGAGCCCAGAGCCCTCCGAGGACTACATGAGACGGGACGCGGAGCACAGGACTGCCTGTGAAATAGAGAGTAGGCTGTCCTGAGACGCAGACAGAGCAGTTCTTCGCTCCAGCTCGCTTTGGCCAGGACTGCCGCTACGGACACATTCCCCAACAAGATTTCTCCTACCATCCAGACCCGGATGGATACAGCATGCTTATGCACGAGTACGACAACTGCGCCTGGCAGCGGTGCTGCACTACTGCACTAGCTCCGTGCAGTTGCGAGCTATTGGGGATCCTCGGCCTCCAGGGGCAGCTCGCGTCTGTTTGTTTCGCGCTTGTCAGGTATCCCTCGGCACTTCAGCAAAGGCAAGCTGCTGAACAGTGTGTGTTGTGATCATGCCGACTGTTCCTAGCAGCCAGCACAAAAGCGATCACCTCTGGCCTTTCAAGCGCATGGAGCTATGCGAGCAGCATGCTTTTGCAGTGCCTGTTTCAGGGATGGCGCTGGCTCGCCCAGTCGTGCTGAAGGCCACAATGTCCTCCCATTCCACCACGCCCCACGCAGTTCCTTCCGATGCTTTCAGCGACGCTAACCTTTGGGAGTAGAGACTGCTCACCTTGACCACAGTTAGACCAAATCCCGACCAAGCTGGGTTTCATCATGTGTGGGTGTGAGGGGCTGTCGGGCTGTCGTTGTCAGACAGCCGGTGCCTGGGCATTTCGCATGACAAGCTTCCAATCGCGTGTTGCGAACTGGCAGAGGCTCATCTCTGCCGGAAGCACCTCGCACGCCTGAGGTGGTCCGCACAAGGAGGCCGCTGGGGTTTAGTTCTGGAATCTTTTAGCGAGGTACAGGATGTATCGGTTCTTCGGGCCAACAAGCAACACCGGTGGCAGAAGCAGTCAGTACCAGCAGCAGCGGCGGCAGCAGCAGTCGAAGCTGCAGGAGGAGGAGGAGGAGGAGGAGGAGGCAGGGAGGAGGAGGAGGCAGTAGTGGTAGAGATGGTCGTCGTCGGCCGGCTTCGTCGTAATCATGGTCGTACTAGTAGTCGCAAACGTAGTCGTCTTAGCAGTAGTAGTAGTAGTAGTAGTAGTAGTAGTAGTAGTAGTAGTAGCAGTAGCAGTAGCAGTAGCAGTAGCAGTAGCAGTAGCAGTAGCAGTAGCAGTAGTAGCGGTGGTGCTTGGTAGTGGTAGTCGTAGTATGTGGTAGTGGTAGGTCGTGGTAGGTCGTCGTCGTCGTGGTAGTAGTAGTGGCAATACTTGGTGGTGGCAGTGGTAGTCGGAGGAGGAGGAGGAGGAAGGAGGAGGAGGAAGGAGGAGGAGGAGGAGGAGGAGGAGAAGAAGAAGGAGAAGGAGGAGGAGGAGGAGGAGGAGGAGGAGGAGGAGTAGTAGTAGTAGTAGTGGTAAGAATGAATAGTGGTAGGGGGGGAGGAGAAGGAGGAGGAGCAGGAGTAGCAGGAGCAGTAGCACTGGAAGTAGCAGTCGCGGGCGCAGCAGTATGCGGCAGTGTAGCAGTAGCAGTAGCAGTAGCAGTATTAGTTAGTAGCAGTAGAAGTAAGTAGCAGTAGGAGCAGTCACAGGAGCAGGAGCGGCAGCATGGTTTCTGCATTGGGGTTGACGTGAAATCATCGACAAACCCCGAGAACCCCTGCAGTCGCGCCGAGCCGGACTCCGCTGAGAAGTTGATGCGGCCTCCGAAGCCTCCGGCCAAGGCGAGAGCGCCGGAGAACTCGATTGAATCACCAAGGAAAACTAGTACCTAGTGGGCTTGGTAGCACGAAGAAATCTGCTGTACATATGGGGGTGATAGAATTTTCTCGGCAGTGCCCGTACGTGTGCTATTTATTGTTGTAATGCTGAGGGAACTTTTTTCAGTTCTCGGGACTCTCAGATCGTGTAGTTAATTAAGATGCAGGCCCACGCATCCCCCGGAGAACACGTGCTTCGGATGTTTATGGAAGAACTCATTTCGTAGTCAGTCTTTGTTAGGCAGTGGAGGTGGATGCGGGCTCATAGCTCACACTCCCGTTCCAACATCGTCTCGCAGCCGACCGAAGCCTGGAGGCAGATATGGCGCAGTTGGATGCAGCCCAGAATCAGAAGATCTCCACGCCCGGGCGCCGCTCCGCTTCTGGTGTGAATGGCAGCCCAGAGGACAGTCAGGGGCATGAGTCAGGGCGTGAGGGTGCTTATGAAGCCTGGGCTGTTGAGAGAGCCCCTGGATGTCGCAGCACTGGCTGCATTCCGATAGCAACTGAGTCAGGACCACCTGCTGCCTTCTGCACCTCGGCCAGATGGTGGTAAAATGAAAGGGCAGCAATGCTCCTTCTGGCCCAAGTTGCAAAGTGACACAAACGCATGCCAGCAAGCCAGCAAATAAGCAGGCCTCAGCAAATCGAGCCCGCAACCAACAGCTGCAGCTGGGTTGCTCTGAGAAGCCCGAAGCAGAGTAGAAAAAACCACGACTCCCCACTCCCCTGAAAGCTGCACGCCCGGAAACCCCGAAACACGAAGGCGCATTCCCACACTTCCCTCCTCCGCGCTCGAAGCCCGGACAAAGCCCAGGCGTGGTCTAAGCCTACGCAGTCCAAGCTTGAAGTTACCAGTAAGAGCAGAGCGCGAAGGTTGGCTCGGTCCCTGAGTCCTTGAGGTTCTGAGGATGCTCCCATATACTCCCCCCGGCTTCGAGGGGAATGCCTACGAGCAGCACAGAGGCCACAAGAAACAGAAAGAAGCCTGGAGACTGAGGAAGCCTTGACCTTCCACCCTCCCAAGCACCATCGTGCTCTCGAACATTGCAAACTGCCTTTTCGGACTATTGAAAACAAAGCGACGAGACAAAGCCCGAGCACAACTGCACAAAGAAGCTAACAGCGTAAAACCGCTCTACTCCGCACCGCGTCTAAGGGCCTGGTTCGAGACCTGGGCGCTCCATCCAAGCCGAGAGAAGGCTCGAGACCTGCGAGCTCCGTGAGATGGAAGAATCGCTTTGTTTGTGCCTTCTAGGTCATAGGGTCATTTTAGGTTCTCTGGCCATGCACAAGGCGCCTCCGCCGGACCGTGTGGGTACTTGATGATGATGATGATGATAATGGTAAAGAGTCAAGAGGACATAAACCTCTTATGCTTTGGATATCTTTGGACAGCCAAACGCTCTACAACACCCGTCCTGATGTTTAGGTATGTTTAAGTATAACCTCCTCGCGATCCTAAACGGCTATAAAAACCGCTAAGATCACCCGATCACCCGAACCTCCACTAGAAAACTCGCCGCAGAAAAAGGTGCAAAATGCAGCTCTCTGGAAAGCCAGTGTCGCCATAGCGAAACCTAAGATGCAGGTCGCGTATCGACAAAACTCGTATGCAAAACAATTGTTGCGTGCGTTGGCCTACAGTACAGTCTCCGCTGTACCGGAGTTTCACGCATCTGCCGCTGTGTAGGTGCACAACTGTCTGTAAGCACATGATGTCGCACCGACACTGGCAGCATCCTTATGTCATGGTGCCGCCTCGCTGTCTGCGTAAGTGGCAGCCGTGCAGCATTGCGCTCGATCCAGATCGCAGGTGCTCCAGCTCCAATCTACCGCATCTGAATCGGCTTGGTTGTGCCTGCCTGCACTGCGCCTTTGCTTTGCTCCTCCATCCGAGAAGCTATTGCCTGGCTGATGTAGTTGATGTGCAGGCGGGCTCTTAGTCGCCAAGCCTTAGGTACACTCTCTTGGCTTCTGGCATGTGGTGAAGTTGACCAGCACTCTACGTGATGCAGTAGTTTTGGCAAAGAAGCATGGGCATTGCCGCAAACCACTGCCAGGGCCTCACAGCCATGTCATGCCGCCCACTCTGGCTTGGCGCGGCCGAATTTCGATCTTATGTTCCATCTGAATTGTGCTGGCTTGGAAAGCCTGCCGGCAAGACTTCACAAGTGTGCCACAATCATCGCAAGTGGAAGCAATCCAAATGCGTTGCTGACTCGAAACCGTGTTCGAGCGGGTAGGTGTTCCAACACCTATTATATCGTGTGATGCTTCCAATACGAATCCTCTGTGCACTTGGTCTGCCTGGCAACATGCACGGTTGCACTTCCGTCATGCTGTTAACTACGTGTCATCTTATGTCACTGCTACAGGGATGCCATGGTTGATTTAATTAAGTCGACATGAACGACCAAATGGGTCCGATGTCCCTCTCGTGGTATAGACATAGACTCCTTCTCGGTGTCGGTCCAGTGACGGGACTGCAAGTTTTTAATCTTCAGAAAAGGGGGCGCGCAAGCCGTGCGGTACAGGGCGGATGCTGGAAGAGGCAGTGATGTGTGAAACGCTCTGTTTTTTGTCAGAAGCTCGTGGAGCTCGCAGGCCTCTGGTTTCTGAGGTCCTTAAGCTGCAATCGTCCGGATGACAGCTTGACTGCCAGCATCCGGCTTTGCATGGCCCCCCGCAGTGATCGCATTCTTTTACGGCTGTTGTTCGCTTGGAATTGCCTGCGGTGTTCGTCGCCCATTCGATTTCGGGAGCCTTTGCAAGCCATGTTTTCACATATGACGGAGACCATCTTTGCATCTCTGCTGCTGGACTTCACTCAGGCTCTTAGCATCTGCAGCTTTGCACTGACTGAGCTGCATAGGACCTGCGTCATGCAGCTCTGAGCACTTGTTGGGGAACCCCTTTGCAGGAGCTTGCACCGGCGACTGCAAGTAGGGCACGGCACGCTGTTGATCTAGGTCATCTATGTATGTGTGCATCTGGAACAACAGGCTACGAGCCGTGAAAGCTCCCTGCGCATTTGGGCGCTCTCCGGATCCTTGTTGGGTCCACGTAGCTATGGCTCGCAGAGCGAAGGCCTAGGGCGGTGCAGAAAGCCTCGTCGGCCATCCGAAGAAACGTATGCAAGAATACCGCGTGTCAAGCCGCCAAGCGCTGCGAGCTCATTGGTTTACGTGGGATTGGCCAGTCAGAATGACTGGCGAGCAGGGGTTGGCAAGTGTGCTCGGACTTGTCATTTCAATCCCGCTCCTTCGGAGGCGTCTCCTGTCAGGCTATGCGTAAGATCGGCATACGCCGGCATGGCTGTGGCAGGCGAGCCCCTGAATGCACCTTCAGTGACCGCTTCACGTAGGCTCCGCTCAGCAGAAGTCCATAATAACTTGCCGGGCAAGCAAATGATGGAGTGGTTGTAGGGTAGCATGAGCATATCTAGGTGCGCACAGCCACGCCTGGAGAATGAGAGTAATATCTTCGCTTAAGTAGCCCGGCCACAGGTTGGACAAATGTAGCTGTGCGGAGTTCGTGGCGTTCACGATGCTTTTGTCGTCACTGCGAGAGATCACTATGAGCCTCTCCGGAGCTCATCATGCGGCAGATTCAATGCCCCTTTATGCTGCCATAGACCCGCTGCCAAATGTGTGCAGTGTGTTCTAGAGTCGGAGTTACCATGCCGTGCGGTTTTAGCATGGCATCACTCATGAAAACAGAACTATGGCAGCATAAACTGCATCTCTGCTGCGGCGACTGAACACGAAAAAGAGCACGTTTTGTGAACCCTGGCGCTTGCACTCTTCTCGTCTTTGCTCCTAGCAACTCGGACTTGTTTCACCAAGTCACTAAGGCCCAGAGCGAGGCACAGAACGCTTTAGCCCAGTGCCTATCAGACTTCGAGGCAGGGCACCCGCTGATCCTCTTGCGGTATATGGTTCTTGAAGGTTCTTGGGACTTAAGCCTTAAGTGCACCCTGTCAGTTGCCCTTGACAAATCAACGCAACATTCACAGCCTCAGCTTTCAGGTGGTGCCAGAGCTGGTTCCCAAAGCTGCGGCCTTCTCGGTCTTCCGGGAGGTGGCGAAGACCGCCATCGTGCCGCGGGAAGTGCAGATGAAGGCGATGCTCACATGGCGGAATCTGGTCGTGCAACTTTGCGTCACATTCGACAGCCGTCGGGAGCCTTCCTCTTGAGCAGGTTGCTCCCGATGAAGCGGGCGAGTCTGGGCGTTTCTTCACGTGCCCCAGTGGCATGTGCCTGTGAAAACTTGCATAGATGTTTGTCGTTGAATGGTGAAGCAGTCGCCTGCCGGAGAGTCGTCGAGATCGGTACAGTGATGCCTGCAGAATCAAACGACTGATTACTTGCCGTTGTGTCTGGGGCTGAAAGAGGTACAGCCACTTCGCTTGCAGCCTCGCAGTCACTGCGCAGCGAGCTTTCGCAAGTGCAGGCAGGGACCTTGCCTGGCCTTAATCAAAAGTATCGGGCACGATCAACTGCAGCTGCTGTGCTGCTGCTCCTGCTGATGATGCCTGGTGCTGTGACGACGGCGAAGCGGCAAGGACGACAGCGAGCGCCAGTGTCAAAAACAATCGTGATTGTCGCATATTGATTCTATCATCACGGCAAGGTGTTTACCTTCACCTCCATCAGCATATCATGAGTATATCTGGTTATCAGTACGATGATGGCCATCACCATGACTCTCGGAGTGACCGTGACCATGAGCGTCAGCATCACCATCCCTCATCATCATGTCATCATCATGTCATCATCATCATCATCATCACATCATCATCATCATCATCATCACGTCATCATCATCATCATCATCATCATCATCTGCATCATCTGCATCGTCGTCGTCGCCATCGTCACCATCACCATCACCACCATCATCATCGCCATCAGCATCAACAAAATCGTCATCTTCATCACCGCCACCGTCACCGTCATGATCATCATCATCATTTTCAGCAGCATCATCATGTTATTCCTGAATCGCCGTCGTCGATGTCATTTTTGCATCATCCTAGGCCTCTTTGGGATCTCGACCTTGGGAGGTGCATCGTCGCTGGTGCGACTGATGCAGTGGATGGATGCGTCCAAGGCACTCCACTCCTTGGTGGAAGGGCCAGGGCTGCCGTATGCATGATCACGCACGGCTCCGATACAGTGACTGTAGCTGCCTCGAATACACCGGATTTTGGCCAGGGCCGTGTTCTGTTCAGCCAGAACTTCCCCGGAACTGCTCCCAAAGGCTGCGGTGAGCTGAGCTGTCGTACCGGTTGCATGGATCTTCAGGCAAGGTTTGCATCTTGAGGTGCCATCAGCCTCAAGGTCCTGCCTGAGATGGAGAGACTTCCAGAGGCCATCCCGGCAAAGTGGCAATCCCTCAAGAGTGAGTGATCTCTCTGGCCTCTCAAGCAGGATGTGCAGCGAGATCTTGGCGCCGTGACGCTGAAACAGGCGACCGGCCAGGCGAGGGCCGTAGACTTCGGCGCCACTCAGACAAGCACTCATTCTGTAAAGTCTTGCCCCCGCTGTGGTCCAAGTGTGCAAACATGTCACTGGTTTTCAGGACTCTAGGAAGGAAGGGCAGGTACACCGGTACAGTAGTGGTGCCAAGTGCCTGCCGAACGAAGACCACGGAACTCTGCGAGGAGCCCGCGCAGTCAAGGCAGGAAGGACCTGCACCTGCTGAGGAGGCGGGCCTCCCGGAATTTGAAATGCATTTGACAAGTAGACTCGAGGCGCATTTGCCTCCCAGCTTTGTCTGTGAATGCTCAAGTTGTGCAAACAGAGAACGCCACTTCAGACTAGCCTGGGATAGAGGAGAGTCCGCAAAAAGTGTTTCCCCTCGAGGCCCTTAACCCTGATCTCGTAACCCCAAATCCATATTCCCCGGAACCTTAAACCCGAAAACCCCTAAATTTTTTAGATCCACAGAGGGCTAACACTTGTGGCGGCTGGAAATGGGGCGTGATCAAAAAAAGATCCACAGAGGGCTCAAAAAACATTCTAGATCCGTAAATCCGTAAACCCCAAAGCTTGGCCGGCATAGGTGGGGAGGCCACGGCGCTCGCGCTCCGTGACCAGCCTCACCCGTGAGCCGCGGGCGGCTGCGGCACCACTCCCGGCCCCTCAGAGCGAACTTCCGATTTCTGTAGCCAGGAGTCTCTGGATAAATGTATTTAATATACTCATAGTTATATATATATATATATATAAATAAAAAAATATATATATATATATATATATATATGTATAAAGTATATGAAATGTAATGTGGCTGGTTGTGATATGCGACCCCTTCCAAAACCCATGCTACGCGGCATTTGGCCCGGGGATGGATCGTGCAATCAATGTATTCTACGAAAGAGCTCTAGCCCTGGCTTTTGACCCTAAGGAGTGGGCAAGATTGGAAATCCAGAAAACTTTCGGGCAGTCCCGGCACAGTTTTGGCTGTTTTGCGGATTGGTGCAGGGTCACATGCGAGATGAGTTGCTGAGATCGTCCTACACTGTAAGTAGCCCCAATGTCTTTCATCTACGAGGAACAGACTCAGGGGAGCAACACGCCTCCGCTCCATGAAGCAGTCCATGTTGGTCTCGCAAGTGACAAGATCGGAAAGCTGCGCATACCGCTCCATCTGATCTTGCCTGAGGCCGGAGCCGTCACAATGACACAATGAAGCAAGCTCTTGATTCTTGAAGCCCGACCCGCCGCACCAACTGCCCACACATGTGCCAGACATCCACTCATGGCAGGCACTATGCATCCCTTGGCGACCCGCTAAATCGAAGCACCCTCACATCGCAGAAGTGCAGAGCTCAGTGCCTCGAGCACGGTTCCAGGCGCAGTCCCAACGACTGAACCTGGTCCCCCTTCGTCCGAGGTTCGGTCGCTTCCTGCGAGACTGTGGCCTGCTAGCCGTCGAGGACTGCACGAGTGCACCGTGACTAATGCGAACAGTGCCTACAACGCGGTGCAAGTCTGTACACCGCAACCTGAAGCCGTCACCTCGAAAGGCCGACGGCCCAGTTTCCTTCGACTTCGCGCCGGAAGGCCCTGCTGGTAGTGTTGAGGAAAACACGTCTGGAAACTGCGCCCCTTTCGAGTCTCGCTTCTCTGCCCTCGCGCGCGGAGCATCCCCAGCTTCCCAGTCAAGTGCGGAGAGGTCGCCGTGCCAGTGTGCGACGACCTTCGAAAACAGGCGCCGAAAGGGTGGACGCTTGTTGTCTGCTGGGCTGGGGGTGTTCAAATGCCAGTGCTAGAAGAGTATGAACAGCCAACTCCGTGCCGGCGAAACAGTGTCTGATGCATGCCCAAGAGCAGATTAGGGATCGTGGCGTTGTGATGCGAGACCTGACTAGCGGTTGTGGCTCGTGACACATCTCCCGCCAGGCCAGGAGTCAGCCACAGGCCGCCAGGGCGCGAAACTCAGGTTGGTTCAACCGACTCGGGGCTTCTAGCCACCCCAATCTTGCTTCGGCACGACGATTTTTGTGAATTGACTGCTGGCCGTGCCCTCCGTGCCACTTAGATCCCACAAGCCCGGGACCAACTACATGACGGAAATGTTGACATACAGTTCTTTCAGTGCAAGGAATGACCGTTGCAACAGCGCGCCGGTGCTTTTGTTAATCCTGCTGTTGTGTTTGTCGATGCGAGAAGTTATTGCTCCCTCTGCTCCCATAGCTTCCTCCCCCATCCTCCCCGTGCCCGAACTGCCTCCCTCCATTGGCGAGGCCTCGCCCGCTCGAACTCCGCCGGGGCGCTCCGCCGGAGTTCCTTCGGGGGCCGGACAGGCCCAAGAGGCTCGCGTTCACGCAGGTTTTTTTCAAGCAGTGCACGGGCCCGGACATGAATGCCAGGAAGCATCGGGCCCGGTGAGGGTGCTGCGTCCTGGCCCTGGCCTTTTCTTTGGTGTACTCGTGTGTGCGAGCCACCATGCCACTTCAACTTGGGCTCCAAAAAGGTCTTCTTTCCGACGGGCCTCCTTTGCCGTCTCCTCTGCGCAGGCGGAACAGAATCAGTGTGACAGACTGTACTAGTGATCGCATCTCGACCTTGACGCTGATTCAGTTTGTGACTGATCACCGATTGTTCCGGTCTGGACACCGACTTCCTCCAATCTGCAATGCTGGCGGAAAGACAAGTCCTGATGCTAGCGCTTGGTCCCTGACAGGCAGCACAGGCCAACGTGCAACTTCCTTTGAGGGCCTGGCTCTTAGCTCTTTGCATGCGCTGCAACTGTATGCTTCAGCCGTCCCTTGTCAGTCTGCAATCTGCATACATAAGTTACTCAGCGGTCATGGATGGGATTTCGAGGTTGTGTTGCTAGAAAGATGTGGCCGACGCAGCTGCCTCTATCGACTTCATCGGCCTAACACTGACATGTGGATGCACATGCGCCTAACGCTCTGGTGCAACCTGCTTAAAGGACCGGTTGACTACTTAAAACCCCCCAAACACTACTAGGGACAGAGCAATATTGTGGTAGGAGGCGAGCCTGTCAGTGTCGATTCCAAACCCCAAGCCCAGAAACGAGTACATGGGCAATAAGGGACTGCTCTTGTGCAGTGCAGTGCGCCCGCCAGGTCTTCCCGGTTCCGCCATTGACCCAAGTAGAGGTTGACCTGATCTTCGTGCAGGCAGAGTGCGTAATGCCTTTGGCTGGCCGCAAGGGCTGAGTCGGAGTCCTGTTGTCCCCTGCCACCTTTTTCAGGAGCCAGGGAACTAAACAATCTTCACTTTCGTGTGCGAACCGAGAGAACAGAGAGGCTACCAGACCGGTGGACACCCCCGAACGCCGGAAGTCCATGGTGCAGGCAGCTGATTTCGGTGGAGCTGTGCTTGGTGATCAGCTAGAGGTTGCGTTTACAAGTTTGGAGGAGGGAAATGTCGTGTTTGCCTGCTTCTGCCGATGGCTCAGCATTTGCGAATTCGAACGCTCGAGGCTGTTAATCAGAAGGATCATTCTAGCCATATTTTCTCAAGAGACAACCTCGAAAATCACGAGCATCCACGCACAGCCGCGCTAGATGCAGTGCAAGCTCGCCACAAGGGTATCCCGGTGTCGTCCTGGGCCATGGGGCAAAGGCATGCAGCTATCGTGCTTGCGGACTCCAGTCGACTGCCGCGCCGGCAGCTGCGTCAAAGCACAGGTGCGCTTCCACACCAGCGAGCAGAGTGACGGGCGTGAATGAGATCAGTCAATCAGTCAGATCGTATCGCGACTTCAGTGATTCAGACCGCACTTTGGTCGTCCCTGTCGGGACACTACTTCGGCCTCCGTAAAGGATCCGTAAAGGTCAGTCTGATGGGGCCGGTGATGTTGGTTCGATCCAGCTAAGGTCGCAGATGCTAACTGGAAGCTGCAACAATGGCGAGGGGACATCAGCAGAAGCTTTGGCAAATCTTGGGTTCCTCAAGGTAACTTCTGAAGGAGCTGGACCAGCAGATGCTAGATATCTAAACAATCAGAGCCTCGTCGGCTCCCCGCTTGAAGCGCTGCTCTAAGGAGACTACTTTGAGGAGGAGATTGTGCCACAATCCCCCCGGACCATCCTCCCCCTGGCAAGGATTGCGGCAAGGAGCCTCTGCCAGTCATGAGCTTCCTAGCACGCTGAAGCTCCAAACCTGCTGCGCGTTTCAGGGGCGAGGGCTTCCTGTCCGGTGCAGAGTTGGCCGGCTTTGACGCTGCGCAGGTTGGCGCACAGAAGGCGCCACGATTGGCGTTACTGCAGCATCAAAGCTGCGGGATCCTGGGAAATTCGTTGCTCTTGGATGATTTTACAAGTATTTTACAGCACTACTAGTACGTGCAATTAGCAGGGATGCCTCCGACGACGTTCTGACGGTTTTTGATGGCTTCTGGCGAGGCCGGTGAAGCAAAGACTTTGGCGGTGGATGTCGCGCCCATACCAGGCTTGGTTGTTCGAACATGCACTTCTAGTCGAGTGCTTTGGTCTGCTTTCAGCTACACACAGGATATGATCCCTCGTCGATTGCCGGCTGGCGTCTGCATCCGCCATCTTCGGACCAGGCCGAGGCCATTCACCAGCCGTGGCTGCATCAAGCCCTGTCAGTTTCCCCTCCTGTCTGCAGCAACATTTCTAACAAAAGTCCATGGGCCTGTGGTATACTGCAGTCATAGGATTATCGTCGGCCCGGCGGCAGTGTCCGGGTTTAGTGCAATGTGTGTCCGCCACCAGGCAGAGCAGGCTGTGGCCTCGGACAGCCCCTTCCATGCGGCAGAGGCTGTGGCCCTGGACGGGCCCGACCCCACCTTTGACTTTGTGCCGTGGCCTGCATTGTTTCATTGAAGCACGACTGTATTTGCGACCTTACGCCTACGCCCCTGAACGATGATCCCGGCACTGGAAAGGCAGCCGATACAAGTAGAAACGATGCTGCTATTCTCTGCCTTTTTGCCCTCAGGTCTTTCCAGAGGAGCCCTTGCTGGGACGCCCACAGCACCGAATGGTGCCAAAGCATGTGGCTCCTGCAGGGCAGGTGCACGCGGGCGTGCAGCATCCTGGCAGCACGACGGCTTGCTCTGCACCCCCTCGCGTAGACTTCTGGTTTCAAGGACGCAGCCAGAGGAGGTCGAGCTCCACGAAAGCAGCAACCAGCGCTTTGCTCGTGAAGCAGTTTCCAGGCTCCGACATTGAAAAACTGGCTCTGAAGCGTGATTAATTGGTTGCCTCTGACAGGATTGGGCTGGTGCCGCTGACCATTTGTGACGCTGGCGCGTGCCCAGAATTCAGACTGCAACGATGCCAAGTGGAGCCTTGTCTGAAGAAACAGAACGACCATGGACAACCCACCCACGTCTTGCTAGGCGATGAACGATGCACCGCAGCTGCCTCTTTTCTGTGCAGTTGTGCGAAGTTTTGGGTCACTTGTTGACACTAAGGACTGTCCGTGTCCCCGGGAAACATCCATGCATGCGAATCATAGCTTGCCGACGGCTTCCAGGCGGAAAGTTTCTGGTGATGTGATGTAAACGTAGTCATGACAGATCATAGCTTGAGCAGATGTGGAGACAGTGGTTCAGCCGTAAACTACATCATGCCGAGAGGGAGTTGACATGACACCGCTAGCAAGAGCACCAGCAAGAGCATCAGCAAGAGTACCAGCAACGGCACCAGCACCGGCAGCCCCAGACGCAGCTGCAGCCACAGCCGCTGGGGTAGCGGCCCGGCAGCACCGGCGCCGGCACCGGCACCAGCAAGCAGCAAGCAGCCGGATCATCATCGTCATCAACAAGCAAAGATAGATCGTGTGGCTTTGTACCAGCACGGGCTTGTGTGCAAAACCGAAGATCACATCAGGGTTGGGCAAACTGGGAAGCTGAATCCGAGATAGCATGCCTGGATCACTCACTATTCACACTGAAAGCGACTCCACTTTCTTGACATTTCCAAGTGTCTTGCGAGGACTGCCAGCCCCCGATCTGCCGCAGAGCGCCAGGGCGAGGATTTCGCCGAGCCTCCGCCGAAGGCCGGCAGAGTTGCAAGTCTCACGACCTCACGAAGACACACAGTGCACACAGCAAAGCAGCGGCAGTGGCTTGTGGAAGAACCTGAGGCGGAGGCTAAAGAGTTCCAAGCCACAGTCGAGACACGGCCGCAGGACTTGACTAAGTAAGACTCAAAAAGTCATTTCCTGGAGTGGCTGATGCTGTGCTCTGCCACATGCCTCTCTGTGGTGATGGAGCTCGCATTCAACGTTCTGGAAAGCGCAGGACTCTCAGCAAGCGGACCCGAAGCAAGCGAAAGCGTCTGGCCATCCTGGAGCCCCTCGGCAACCTAAACCTTCCCGTGTACTCCTGCCGCTACTATCACTACTGCTACGACAGTGCTGCTACTACCTCTGCTGCCGCTGCCGCTGCTGCTGCCGCTGCCACTACCTACCACTACCACTACCACTACCACTACCACTACCACTACCACTACCACTACCACTACCACTACCACTACCACTACCACTACGACACTACTACGACGACGACGACGACCACGACCACGACACCACGACTACGAATACTACGCCGACGACGACGACTACGAATACTACTACTCCTGCTGCTGCTGCTGCTCCCCCTTTGTAACTGCTGCTGCCGCTACTGCCACTGGGACTGTTCCTGATGCTGCTCCTGCTGCTGCTGCTGCCGCTGCTGTGCTACCTGCCACACTAGGTGTATTTCTTCAGGCGGTAGTCCAAGGAGTCCGAAAAGCAACGCTACTACGTTTTCTTCTAAGGCGGTTTGGCCCGGACGCAAGCGAGTCGACAAACGAAGCAGACGGTGTTGAAGACTGAGTTGTAGCGCGGTTGTTTCAGCATCCTGCTTCTTATCCACCTCCCCGAAAAACATTGACAGCTCTCCCTGCCCTGACCTCCTACGCGGTTCCCACTTCGCGACGTCAAGTTACTTATCTTCTCCTGGCAAGTCCAGGGTCGAAGGCTAGAGGCCGAAAGCAAGGGTCGGGTGTGCTTCGTGTAAAATAGGACGGTAGCCATGGGCGAGAAGTGGTGAGCTCTCCACTCCATTTCTTTGCAGGCGAAGCAGGAGGAGGAAGAGGATGAGAGACGAGAGCCCTCCTCCAATGTCGAGTCCAGTGCTGGCCCTTCGCAGGTCTCAGGCTCAGGATGGACCTGGAAGCCTTTGCAGCCTTTGCGTGTATGATCCGCTTTACCAAGGCACGGGGCCAGAAGGAGAAGGCCGCGGCGGGCCCTTCATCCAAGCATCTGCAGCCGCCAACGAAGGCCAGTCCAGGCTCTATCTTTCGCTTGGCTTCCGGATGCATCCTTCCAGCAAAGGCGAGGCGTCCTCCATCAGCAACACCGAAAGCAGAGGGCCCAGGTGCGGGTGGGACCATTCCAGCACAGGATATCGCAAGATGTCACGAAAGCTAGCTTCTTGGAGCTTGCGGGAGTTCTTGTTTACAAATTCTCTCGGATGAGCTAGCACGGAGGCCCCCTTTTCTCCGATATATCAAGGACTTTTAGGGGGTCCCCCCCCCTCAGGCCCCCCCAAGGGCCCCTGTGTGTTTTGGTGACTGCTGATTGTGATGCATGCTTAGATGTGATCCTTCGGCATTGCAGCATGCTTGGCAACTTCTTGTGCAGTGAGCCCAGTTAGAAAACCAAATTCGCATGGGCCTCCGCGTGTTTTGGTGACTGCTGCTGATTTTGATACATGCTTGGTTTGATCCTTCGGCACTGCTGCATGCTTGACAACTTCTTGTGCAGGGTTTGGCTCATCTATGAGTATCCGACTGCAAGAAAAGTGACCACAGCTAGACAACCAGATTCGCATGCTTGTGTCAACTTTGTTGCTGCACCTAGATGAAGACGAGCACAGCTAGAGAAGCCGGATGGTTTAGTTTGAGTCTTTTCTTCGCTTAGCTGTGCTTTACAGTAGGCACGCTTTTCCTCGCGGCATGGTTTCCTATTTATTTCAGTATGGTACTCGACGATATTCCCTGGAAGTTCCCATTGTGGATGATCGCGTTTGGGCTCTCTTAATGTCTGCTTGGGAGACACCCGGCGGTTTGCAGTCACTTACTGACTCCTGTTGCATTCGGATACGTTTGGCACGCTTTGAGATGCCTTTGCACAACGCTGGCTTCAGGGCACCATTCGCCTGGCATGGATCGGGTGCTCATTCGTGAAACTGTTTGTCGCATGCGCTTCTCTTGGGCTGTTCCTGCGCTCGCACACATCGATGGCGTGAAATCGTATTCCGGTCTGGATTTTTGTCGTGGGACCACTTCGTATCATGTTCCCTTCGATGCACTTTTGCACCTTGGTTTTCATCGCGCTTTGTTGCAAGAGCTTGCCGAGCTTGATCTGCCTGATGGCATTCCGTCTGCTGCAGCGTGGTCGCTTTTTCTGGAGCATGTCCAATTTCCAGCAGGGTCTTCTGCGGCGGTCGCGCGCTGTATGATGGAGAAGAAGTGTGCGTGACTGATGTTCTTGCGGCTTTTTACTTACATGCGCATCTCAGCTTGCTTATTCTGGAACAGCAAGGCTTGTCTGCAGGGCTGTGCTCCCTCGGTTTGCGCTCTGTCGTTCTGGAGTTCTTGCGTGCAGGGATTCCGCAATCTTTGGCAGGCGTTCGCTCCGCTCATCGACGTGCGCGAGCACGTCCTGCACCGTCTTGTCGCCCGAGCCACCTACTGTGCCTCTATTTGCTACTTCTCGGTACTTCTACTCTACTCCCCCTTCCTAGCTTTCGTCCGCACTGCTCTCAAGTAAATGAGGTGCTCTTAGGCCTTAGTGTTTGGTAGCACCGTCACTTCATTTCGTCCGCTTGTGCAGGCAGCGCGGGCCCTCGGAGCATGTCGGAGGACGGAGCCTGCGAGGAGCGCGCGGAGGCCGCGGACCGTGCAGAGGAATTGGAGCCGGCAAGGGGCCGACGAGACACTAGGAAGCAGAGAGATGCTCTTTACTTTAGGGCTGCCAGTCTTGCACACTCGCACCTGGCCACTCTCACGACCACTGCAGCGGTCTTGCCAGGGTCCCGTGTAATCTTGTTTCCTCATCTGCCGCATGTTTCTCAAATCACTCACCTATTGGTGAGAACGGTGGGGGGTCTAGGGCCGTCCAGGGTTACTGGCATTCTGAAGCTTTCCGGCGACCATGCGGCAAACGCAGATGTTGACAGAAAAACTCAGCAAGCGAACGGAAGTGTGAGGATCCGCTCTTCTGTTTCACGCCTTCCCCGAGGATCCTCTTTACAATGTATGTGGGCAAGCCACAGAGTTCCTCTTCTCGCAAACCTGTCAGAGCAGAAAAATTGGCGGATCTTGAGCCACAAGGCGTTGTCACGCCTGTCACTGCCCCTGAAGGCAGGCAAGGCATGCGGCATGAAGTCGGGAATGGGGGCTCACAGGCTTGACAGGAGCAATGGACTCCGAATCAGGGTTCCACGCGGTGAGCACGCCGAGAAGGTGCTGCAGGAGCGTTGTGTGGGCGGGCCAAAGCTCGGTCTCTATCTGTCTTGTTTGGCGTAGCTGAAATGAGTACGGCACTTGACAATCAAGCCGCCTGGTCTAAGGCCAGTGCCTCCAGTGCCGTGTCGCAGACGAGCACACTCTGCAGTGGGCGGCGTGCAGACAGCATCGCCGGCTCTATGACTCTCTCGGTGTCTACTAGTGGCTCGGATCATGCGTGATCCGCTTGGGCTTGGTTTCGGCATGGTTTGTTCTCCGTTCAGAGCTGCCTTCGCCTGCATTCACGCCGTTCACATGCCGGCATGACGATCGCGGTCCGACACTGAGGAGGTCGCCGAAGATCTGCACCTCGGCTCAGCAATGCGCGACCGGCCATTTCCCTCTCTCGCAAAGCCTCTGAGGTGTTGAATCCTGGAGCCGTCATCCAGGACTTGGAGGCTTCAGAGGAGTATGAGTACGCGCGGCTCTTCCGTATTTTGTTGGAGATTCAGCGGAGTGGCGACCCCGCTTCGAATTGCTGCCTGAGAGATTTTCTCGCGGAGCGGGCCTTACACCGACATCTCAGCGCATCTCTGTGTGTGTGTCTCAGAAGACTCACATCTTTGCTGGCTGGCGCTAAGGAAAACTGTGAAGTCACTGACCTGGTGCTCGATGCCTTGCCTTTCCTTCAACAGGCCTGTGGCTTAGCCGCTTAGACTGGCCTTGGAACAGACTTGCTCAAGGACCCAAGTCAGTGCCACACCGAGATCTTATCACTTCTCGGCCTGGCTTGCATCCTACCTTCCGTTGACATGCGCGGCAGGTTGAAGGAGGGGAGATTGTGCTGCCTGCGAGCGGGGACGTGCGAACAGATCCGACCTTCCGAGAGTTCCTCCACACGATGAGGGAGAGGTGTGTCTCCAATGCAACTCTTTTAAGGATCTTCACGCCGCTTGTCAGCAGAGACAGAAGTCAAGGCTGTCTACTGGATTCTGTGTTGGTTGGTCATGGTTGGTCCAAGACCGATGCCGTTCCAGGAAGCTGAGCCAGCGCGGCTCGGCACCGGTAGAGGCCTGTCGTGCTGAAGCCCAGAGGCGGGCTTTCGCTTTGAGTGCTGCTCGCTGAGGCTTTGGTCTGCAGGAAAAGCTTAGACTTGGCCCCACGTTGAAGAGTCGCTTCCCAGCAGGTTTTGCCTCGACCGCTTCGATGCGAACCTTCGTCAGAGCGAATGGGAGCAGATGCTCCAAGCTGCCTTCAACGGTCCGGCGGCTTCTTGTTTCGTGTGTCCCGCGCTCTCAGACTCAGAAGATGCAAGAAGCTAATTCGGAGGTGCTGGCGAGGAGCTGACCCCAGGCCAGTGGATGCACAGCTGTCGATGGGCCGCCCGAGCTGCAAGGCCCGTGCTTGTGAGCATGCCGGGAAAAGTTTAGTCGTTGGACGTATAGCGAGGTCGGAAGCCGTAACCAACTTTAGGCTAGTCTTTCACAATGTTGGCTGGCTACGACGTCGAAGTTAGTTGATGCTCTGGGCAGCCATAGCTTCGTATCTGGCAATCTGTGTCGTCTCAGCCTCTCCACCGGCAGGCTCATCATGACACTGCGGCTGACTTAGCCCAGCGAAGTCGCTGAATCGAGCAATGCCGGGAGCAGCGACACGCGGCGGATGCTGCATGATGCGGGGAAGAGGCGGTTGAAGGATCAGCCAGAGCCTGTCCTTCCCAGTAGCAGCCAGTGGCTGTTAGGATGGCATGACGTCGACAATAGAGTTGTACGACTGACCTCACAGTCGATGCGAAGCTTCCGACTTGCGAGCTGCGTAGGGATAGGTGACATGAAGCATCTTTTGCCTTGGTGTAGCATATTTGTGCCCAAGCGCCTGAGCCAAATCACCTTGTTATCCTTCGTGACCCGAGAATCCGAAGACAGGTGAAAGGCCACAAGCCACAAGTGCAGCAAGAATTCGCTGCTCCCATCAATGACAAGATATCAGACATTTCGTTTCAGGAGCATGGTTTGTGGAGAGCTGTGAGGATTTCCGGGTTGTCGCGCACGTTGCAGTTCCAGCCCGAGTGGTTTCACCGACGGCAACCTCGAGCAGACGGTACACGCGAAGAACGGCTGTTTGGAGTTTTAGAGGTACAAAGAACCATGACTAAAGACCGTATTGACTCTTGGACTTGCGAAGGGCGTCCGCCTGCCCGGGCCGGTAGCAAGGCCAAAGGTCTGCTACCGTCGGACGTGAGTTGACGGGTGGAAAAAGCGCAGTTGTGGTTAGGCTGCCAGGTGCTCAGACATTGGCCTCCACGATTGCACGCGGTCTGCACATACCGGTGACCACCGGTGTCGCACAAGCCTTTCTGCAGACTTCTCAGAGCTCTTCAGAGGCGTTGCAGATTCCATGGTCCCGTGTGCGACAGGCCGGGGGTGGCTCCAAGCGGCTCATGACTGCCGTGGCCTCACATCGACACAAAAGTCCCATAAAGCGTACATTTGAGAAAGCACTGAGAGGGTCTCAAAGCAATTTGCTTGCGGGTGAAGCTCGGGAAGGTCGACAGCTTCACGAAGGCGCTTTCCGACGTGGCCTGGCAGCGATAAGTTACGTCTGTTTACTACACCACGTAGCTGTCGCAGACAGGTCGTTTTCGAGGCTCTGAAGGACCAAATATCTTGACGCTCTCAATTCCACTGCACTGCTCAGGTGGCGGCACAGTGCATGGCTCCTGAGGATGTCTTCCCTCCGAGTTTGACGATGTCTGCAGAACGGGGCGGGTTTCGCTTATGCAGCTGAAGCGAGACCCTATGACCTGCAAGATCCTGCAAGTGATGTTGGGGAGTTTTAAGACTAACGGGCCAGTGCAGGTGTCGGGTGGCTTAGAAAACTTCTGTCGGCGTGCCGGATCCCTACCCAGCCTGCTAGACTTGTGCAAAATCGGCATGACGGGAAAGTCGTCGAGTCGAGCGGCCACAGGCCACTTCTCGGCCAATCGGGAGAATTTGTGGGGGCTCATGTGCTACAGGTCATCGTGCCCCTCAACGGAGTGCTTCTCAGAAGCCGAAGTGAGGAGAAGCTCGATGTCGTTGCACTTAGTGTCGGCTGCGTGCAGCACAGGTGTAAAGCGGAAGCCTGGCGAGCAGCCCGTTCAATGCCTCACCGCCTCTCGCTTTCGGTTTGCTGTTCAGGAGCTGGTGTCAGCGCTTGACCTCCTTGACAAGCCAGAGGTGAAGAGGCCAGTCAGCTGTTGGCAACGGAGGTTGTGAGCAATGTGTGCCGTAGGAAACTCCTTGGTGGAATGCATTGCGACTGTCATTGCTGCAAATTCGGGAACGGTTGCACACAAAACTCCGGTACAGACATTCTGCTGATGAAGTGTCACGCCAACCGCTAGCCAGCAACCTGCTGAAAGGTTGATGACCGACTGCAGCACTGGTTTGAACAAGGCCGGTGGCTCCGCCGTGCAGCTGTTGGCAATACACTCGTTCAAGTCTTCTCCAGAGTGCATCAGCAGAGTAGAGGGCAAATCGCTGAAATGCGCCAAGCTCCCGGAAGTCTGTTTTGGAATTCGGTCGAACACCAGAAATGCTGGACACACCCCGCAACAAGCATGTAGAAGAGCTCCAAGACCCCAGAAATCCCCACAAGCCTGACATCTGCAGCTCTTCTCCTGCTATGCCACGGAGCCCACGGCGCGGAGGCGTGGAATCGCTTCTTGTTGCACTCCCGATAAGCTCGGCGAGTGGGCAATGACAGATCACAGGGCTGTGAAGTAGAATGCGGGTTCAAGCAACTGACAAGCATCTTGTCTACAAGAGAAAGCCTGAAGCGCATCCATGGAGTGAGCAGCCCTGAATGGCAGGGCCTGCTTCTGTGTCACAAACAGCACTCCGGCTGAGAGGCCACATTGGAATTCCGACTCTGTGACGAGGTCGTGCGGCCGCTTTCCTTCCTATCGAGTGCACCCGCCGCACACATGTCCCCAGTGTGCACAGGTTCGCCATAGACTTCGACTTCCTTGCCGAGGCAACATCTTGGCTGGTTCGATGGAGTGTGCATGAGTGCCGTAAATTTAAAATTCGCAGAGTCGCCGAAGGTTAGCAACCTCCCCTTGCAGCGCATGTTCCAGGCCAGGCCTAACAGAGCCGCAGCCCAGCTCAGTGAGTTTCGGTGATTTCTGGGAGCAAGGATGCCTGCCAGCACACGGCAAGCAACTTTCGAGCTGCTTGGGCCTCGGCCCTTGGGCGGCCTTCGGTCCACCTAATTTCCGACCAAGGCCGAGGAGAAGATGTTGGTGGAAGGCTTCCCGCTCTTCCTCCTCATGTTAGCAAACAAGACCCACACGAGCCAGGCAAGATTCCGACTGTTTTGCATCATGTGTTCGGCAGATGCTAACGGTACACACCCGGCACACCGGACTCTTCTGGAGACCATACGACCTGCTGCATCTGCTCGTCCAGCATCTCTGGCGGGTGACTCCAGCCAAAGCAGGGCCTAGCTTCCAGGAGCCAGATACTCGACAAGGGAAGGTTTGGAATCGATGTGATGGGGCGAGAAAGCTCCAGTTCCAGAGTCTCAATAGAAGCTGCACCCACGACGATGTTTCGGGGGTTGCAGCAAAGAGTTCTTTCCTTTCAGAGATCGCTGCCGAAACTGCACACCGTGCAAACTTTCCTAACTGTCGTGTCCGCAATTCATGCAGCCATCACAATCACTTGCATAGTCTTGCTGGGTCAGTTCTCGAATTCCCCGACTGGTAGCGTCTCTGCTTGCCAGGTTTGCAACGCTCCCGAGGAGAGAGTTTCTCACTCGGTGCTCGGGGGGGGGGGTTTGACGTCGCTCCCGGCCAGGCTGTCTGCATTGGACGTGTCCGGTCTCCCAAGAGTCCAAGATTCAGATGTGCAAGGTTCCGATTCTCTTCCAGCGCATCAACGCGATTGCTTGCCCGGGGCCCGGTCATCCATGTAGCCCGCTGGGCCGGATCCTGTGAACTTAGGACAGTTTCAAGGAACCCGAAAAAGCACCGCAGCAGGCACGGCCACACAGGCCCCACGCTTCGGTTTGGCCAAGGAGCAGCTGCTGCCCCTGCTTGGGCCCTAGAGCCCTGCAGACTCTTGCACTTTAACTTTATGTACCACGTGCCTATACCTGCCTCCGTCGGCTTAGATGCCTGGTCCGGTGCTTATCTCAGCTTGTGACAAAGGTCTCGGGAGATGCCAGGCCCGCGGCGGAGCTTCTCCGCTACGCCGGGTCGCTCGGACAGGCGAGGCATGTGTTGTGTGGTGGCCCAGTGGCTGAGCTAGCAAGTCTCATCGGCATCGAGTTTGCCACCGGGCTTGTACTTCGGGACTCACCACGAAGCAGTCGGCAGAAAGTCACCGAAGCTCGGTGCATGTGGCTGCTTCCACAAACACAATCATGTTACTTCCTACTTTTGATCAGGGTGACAGGCTGGATGTTACTTAATCCGCGGGCGGCACAGCGGTTCCCCCAGACTTAAGAGAAGTCAGATGCCCGCTTTGAAAGGCTGGAAGGCAGCCGACGGGCAGAGGAGTCTGGCTTGTCCTGGGACGAACTCCTGGGCCCTGAGAGCTTCGAGTCCTTCTGAGGCCCTGCGCAGCAGGTTTGCCACAGGTCGCACGAAATCGCAAAGCTCATACAGTAGGGGCATTACTTGGGACTTGTCGTACCTGAGGACCTGCGAAGCCTCGGGTAGGTGCTTGATTCGGCCACCACATGTTGGATATGTCGAAGCCATGGATCCAGTACCTCGACTATCATCGGCGGGCTGTCAGGCACTTAATCAATTCTGCTTGAGTCTAAGTGGTGATGGCTGCTCGGTGTGCGGTCTTTGTAGCTAGGCATGCTGCATTCCATGCCGTGCCCAGAAGCCTCATCGTCTCGCTTTCTTTGTTCCAGTTTACCTGTTAGGCTATGATCTAGTGAATCTCGTGGTTTGCTCCTGCCTCAAGTCGAAGTCTGGACCCGTTGCGAGTCGTGAAGTCCGGAAACGGCACGCCAAGCGAAGCCGTTTGTAGCTCAATCTCGGTGCAGAGCCTTGCGGTCCATTCTGTGTGCGCGGACATGCTGGGAAATTGCACGAGTTTCAGTTTCTGACGAAAGCCAATCAAACTCTCTGGTTGGTTCCATCCGTGCCGAAGAAGGATCGGCAAGAGCATCTGCCATGCTAATGCAGCCATTTTGTTGCAGAGAGTGTCGTACTCTGTGTTTGTAGACAGCTTGACAAGTACTCGGCCTCCGATACCTGTATTGCCGGACACGCTCTGCAGATGATGCAATCGAAGCAGGGTGCCGGAGATAAAGGACCTGCCAAACTCGAATTAATATCATTGTTTCTTATGATATTGATGCCTACGAATAACATTTTTGTGGTGGATATTTACAGTTGTATGTGCATATATGGGTTGCGTTCTAAAGTCGCGTGTCTGTGGCGGTACGGGTACTTGGATTGACCTTAATGTGTTCGGGGAGCATCTTGTTGCTGTTCGCTATGAGGCGGCACGCAGGTAGAGCCCGAATTACCCATGTCTTGGCTCTCCGAAAACCGTTAGCACGGCGCTGGGCATGTTTAGCACCGCATCCTCAAAGTAACGCCGTTGTGCACTTGCGCCTCGTCATCCCAACCCTGCAGCGGTGCTTTTAATATTCACTCAACAGGTAGTATCAGATCAGCACTCGGTTTGCAACGGCCACGTGTTTCCAAGATCACGATCGGGACGTAGATCGGTGCGGGTTATATGAGCCAGGTGCTCCTAAGACCAACGCTTGGTCTGGTGGATTTGGGAGCTTGCAAGAGATAA